GACTTACTGATTGGTTCCCCGTCTGCCTTATAACCTGACCAATTTGGTGACCTGCTCACTTGGCCTGATGAAGCTTTTGTGTCAAAAGCGAAACGTTGCCCAAATAAAAACTACCGATTGTTTATCGAGCTCTTCTGAAACGAAGATTCCACTTGTTTTCTGACACGATCGGTCTAGTGACTAGAATGCAGCAATGCCTCCGTCCTGTGCGGTAGAGATTAAGCGGTGGCTATTGGGGCTGATCCTGGAAGGTCGAAGGTTTCCAGCGACAGGTTGAGGTCTAATGACTATTCCTCCGCTTTAGGGATCGCACACTCAGTCGGTTGTAGCTGAGTGACATGCTGTTTCCAAATCGATTAGTCCCGACCTAAAGCTCCCACTTTGATGTGGTAGTCGGGCATGAGCCATAGAGACTACAATAGCTGGAATTTCGTTCCACAATGTGCAACCATGGCAGGAAGGCCAAAGAGGAGCAGTTAGACTAAGAGTGGCGAGACCTCGTACTAAGCGTAATAATGCTACGAAGCGGTCCGTGGATAAAGTTGTACTCTTCTGTGTGATAGAGGTATGAAGGCAGTAGGGTGTTTCCCCCAGGCGATCATACCATAATCTTGGAACCAGCGACGCTGTCTTCCTCCGGAGAAGGAAGGGTTAGAAAAAGTCAGTACTAAAACCCACACACTCCGATCTCTCAACGGTTGGCCGTGACCGCCTGCGCATTATTCAATACGGGTGGAATACTTTTGGAACCAAAGAGTTCCCTGATGCTCAAAAGACACCTGCAGCACACAGACGCACCAGGAATGAGGCAGTATTGCTTTATTCCCTGCGCCCTCGGGTTAGGCCAATCCCGTGCAGCCGAGCAGACCCAGTTAATGAGTCATCGGCTCCAGGAAGGGTAGCTGACCAAAGGGCCTTATGTTCCTCGCTGCCCACAAACATTAAACAAAATAACCTCTCTAAATCCACGAAATCCTTTTGACGTCTGGGCTCAATGTCGAATTGGGAATGCTCGCCGAAACCTTGTACTCCCTCATGGTTGATGTATGCTGTCTCCGAAACACGATACAAGACCGACGCGTGGTTACGCATTACAGAACGTTAAGGACGAAATCAGCTCTTCCACGTTTCTCCTCCTGTGTCTGACGATCCAGAAGCGATGACTCGTGGAGCAGAGGTGTGGGTTGAAGCCCACCCACTCTTCAAGCAGCACTTTACACTTTGCAGGTGAGGAGCGCATGCCAAACCGTGAAGCGGAATTATTTAGATTATTTATTATTGTTGTATCACGCGGTGTCGGATCCAGGAAGAGAAATATCGTCTATGTACTTGCTAACGGTGAGCGAACAACCCGGGAGCACTTCGATCCCACGGGCATTAAGTCGTTCAGCTGTAGCACTCCTCCGGTGCCTAACTGCTATGCCACCCGAAGGATGCACGAAGGCTGGGATACCGCCAGGTTGCCCAAGCCTAGACAGGGGAAGTCGAGAGGCGGAGGTCGGATTCGAACCACGGACCTCCAGGTCAGTAAATTCGCGACCTAACCAGTTAGGCCATCTCGCCCGAGTAAAGGTGGATGGGGAAGAGACTTGGTGCTAACCTACCACAATCATTCCGAGGTGCCTACACCCCCAGACAATCTAGATAGAACCTGACGACAAGAGCGCCACTGACATCGGTTCGCAGCGATTTCTTGTAGTGTGGGGCGAGATGGCCGAAGTGGTTAGAGCGCGAATTTACTGACAGGAAGGTCCATGGTTCTAATGCGACCCCCGCCTCTTGACTCCCCCTGTCTAGGCTTCGGCAACCTGGCAGTATCCCAGTTCTCGTGCTTCCTTCGAGTAGCATGGCAGTTGGGCACCGAAAGTGCTACAACTAAACGATTCGATTTTTTTATTCTTACGAAAGTGCTCTAAACGATTCGATTTTTTTATTCTTATAGTGTCTCCAACCAGGCACAGTGAGGATCATGCGATCCCCATTCTGGAAGGCAGGCGGCACCGACAACACCCAAGCGTTTCATGATCTCCTTCATACTCCTCTACCAGGTCAAGGGTTGGCCACCTCTCTGTCTACGCCACTCTGAGTTGGATATGGAAAACAGCACTCTCTTCGGCAAACGATGGTTCGGCATACGCGACACATGTCCCAACCAAAGCAGCTTCTGGTGCTGGACACATTCTTCAATGGAAGTACCCGTTACACAACCGAAAACACGCTTTCTAACTGCCTCGTTACGGATTCGCT